CCCCCCAATGGATGGATAATCAAATGGAAAAGACCATAGACTATAGAAAATTGTAGGTAGGAATAAGGTATATCAGCACGTTTCGTGACAAAAGTGAGTGGACCTCCTTCAGCCCCTATCAGTTAGTGTTCGTTCATGCGCGGCCTGAGCGCGTAGTGGGCCCATTTGCTTGCGGATGACCTGGGCCAGCAGTAGTAGTGGTAACAGCAGTATTAGCAGCAGCTGATGTGGCGCTGGGAGTGGGAGCAGGAGCAGTAGTAATAGTCGTGGTCATGGTGGTGGTCATGTCGTGGTAATGTTGGGAGCAAGCCCTAGACCCTAATCCTGAACCGTGAATTCTGGACCCTAAACTGGCGGGAGCAGCAGTAGCAGCAGCAGCAGCAGTAGGAGGGAAGATGCCCGCACAGGTTTCGCTAGGAAAAGCCCCCAAACGCTGGTGCCACAATAGCTGGAATACGGATTTCGGGCTACCAGAATCTTGTATCTGCCTATTCTGGAATAACTACCTGAGGTTTTGTCCAGGTACCAGCGTTACTCCAGAATAACACTAAATATGAAATTGCGTTAATCTTCTACGTACATCCAGTTTCCACTGGATCCTCCATTTGCTTGTCCAATCCATTATCCATTATGGCTACTGTTCACGTGAACTCTATTTGTCCCTATATATCCCTGTATGAGCAGCTGCTTAAAACACCTTTCCGCAGATTGCAAAAACCTGGTTTTGCTCATTAAAAACACCCGTCATTTTCCGCAACGTACGATTTTTACAGTCTTTGGTTCTCAGGGTATAGGGTTTTCTTCATGACTGGATATGATCTGTGCCTGACGTCTTCTACACGATGATAACGGCTGCCGCTGACAGCCCTATATAATCCTTCTAAACCCTAGACCTTAGGGTTCTACATCCGCTGTTATACTATATTTAAATTTTCTGAACCCCAAACCCTAAGCCCTGAATCCCAAATGTTAGAGCCTTGGCCTTGATGCGCCGGCGCAGAAGAATGTGCTAGCGGCAGATCTTTGCATTAGCTAGGCTTAAGTAAATTGATCGTTTTTCCGCTTACTTGAACCATATGAAGCTTAAGTAAATTGACCGTTCTTGCCTATTTACCTAAAGCATGCAGGTGGAGGGTTAGGCCCCGCTTTCAGCAAAGGACCCTAAAACCTAAACCCAAGCCCGAAGCCCCTATGCCCTAAACCTCAAGAGACTAGAGTTGTTGTATGCCATGCCCCGGGCCGAGTCTAGCAAGCCTTGGGCCTGCACAGGTGCAAGAACTGGCTATAGGGATCTTTCTGGGTTTAGGGTTTAGGATTTAGGGTTTAGGGTATAGGATTTAGGCTTAGGAGTTAGGATTTAGGGTATGGGATTTAGGGTTGAGGTTCTAGGAATCTATAGGAGTAGGGTTTAGGGTTATGCAAGGATATATGGGGAGATCTGAGGACATGATAACGGACAATCAAATGGAAAAGAACATGGACAATTAAATAGAAGCGCAGTGGTTTATAGCTTATATGGATTAGGGATCAGGGTTTCCGCACATTAGGGATCCTTTTTTGGGGGGTTCGTAGAATCCTATAGTAAGACAATTTCGGGGTCCATATTGAGGCCCTCTATGTATGGAAACACCCAAAGGCGCATTTAAGGATTGTATTGGGAACCCATAAGTGTGCATTTCTGGCTAGGCTTGTCAAGGTTTCAGGGTTTACGAGAGTGTAGGGCCACCGGTAATTGCCCGGAAACCCATGGTATGTCATCTGCAGGAATTCCAGAAACCCCTGTTGCTCTTCTGGCCGTTGCCGCTGATGTTGCTGCTTCTGTTGTTGCAGTTGCCAGCTAAAACTCTGAACCCTAAACCCTAAAAAAGCAAACCAGGTACATGCCAGCTATGCCGCCAATCTGTACATGCAGCGTCTGCGGCCGCGAAGTTCTGAACTCAATTCCAATCACAAGGCCAAACAGTACCCGAAACCCTAAACATTAGGGTTCAGGGTTTAGGGTCTTAAGTCCTAAGCCCTATACGGTAAACCCTAAAAATCCCAAGAACAGTCCAGAGTCCATAAGAATGCATCTCAGAGCAACAAATTCTCCGATAGATACCGCCGTCAAAGGCCCCCCCATATGTTTGCGAATGGGCTCCCCTGTACAACCTAAGGAACAATATTCATTATCCGAAAGCACCACCTGTTTTAGAGCTACACGCCAGACATATGAGCTATAGTCTAAACTCCTAGTATCCCCCTTCATAATTCCTATAGTACCCCCTTTTTCATCCCCTATTATAATATAAGCCCCCTTGGAAGGAGTTTAGATTATAGCTCATGTGCCACGTATCTGTTGCAGCTGGCCTCCAGACGGTGCTGGTTTCGGTTCAGGATATCATCCAGTGTCCTCATGGACACCTTACTGGCGCAATTGCTGAGATCTGCCCGCGACCAAAATCTACGAAATAACTCCCTCCCCTAAGATTTCCCCCAGACAAAGAACAGTAATTCCCAATGTAAGACCATCATACATTAAGCAGAGGAAGGAACATTCATTATCACAGGAGTGGAATGCTTTATGGCTAGAATGGAATAACTGAGGCTAGTCTGTTCCTTTGTGGCGGGAGGAAGCTGGAAAGTATCCATCAGCATCTCTCTCACACCGCGCCCTCATGCCCATCCTCCTACAGTTTCAGAATGCCTTACGCCTAACGCAAGCATCTGTAACTGGTCTTGGGCAAAGTGCGGCCTTGTGGATGAAGCTGGCTTTAAGCTGCAATTCCATGTTGTTAGCATGCTGGAGCCCAGAGAAAAAGCTAATGAGTTGCCGAATCAGAGTTGGCAGGCACAGCTTATGCCCGAAAGATTTGAAAGAGGAGTCAACTGGCAACTTCAACCTATAATCCTTGTAGTTTCCATTTTTTCGATTATCCCTATGTAAGCCCAATATAACCATATAACCCCAACATAACCCTCTGGGGGTCTCCAGAGGCCTTCTGTCCGGGGGGCTCACCATGCTGAGGGCACACTTCTTGGACACTTGTGAAGTGCGAAAGTATGAAGAATGAATGGTTCTGCCCATGGTAGCTTCAGAAAAAAATAGGGGACCCCAATATATAGACCCCAATGTACCATAGTGCTTATTATAGAGACTCCTAAAATAGGGTACCCCTAACTTTGGGAAACACCGCCAATTGCTTTGCTGATGATTATTGTGCGCTACAGCTCTTGCATTGTTTGTCACGCTTGCAGTTGGTATATTTTGCAGTGGCCTAGTCTACCGCCAATCGTGTTGTTACGATTTAGGGGTTAGGGTTTAGGTTACCTCTGCGGCAAGTGCCGCTATATCTGGTCCCCCTCGACACAGCGGTCATCCCCTACACCCTAAACCTAAGCCCAAACTCTAAAAGTCTAAAACCCAGGCCATGTTCTGCCTTAACCCTAAAGCGCCGGACCCTAAACCCTGAACCCCAGGCCCAAGCCAACCCTAAACACCCAACCCTAAACCCCGAACCCCAAAACTCCCAAAACACCAAATCTGATAGGCTATGAGTTCCCGTATACTAGCCTTACGTAGTCCTTAAATCGCCCCAATATATCTCTATTTCATCCCCATTTTTCCCCCCCATAGCCTACAGGGGTCCCCATCAAGGGTCCATCCCAAAGCGCCTAGAATATCATGTGAGCCATAATCTAAACTCCTATTCCCATTAATGACCACTATAGTAGTCCCGACGCAATCCCTATATAACTCCAAGGACCCAGACCCTAAATCCTGAAACCCGAAATCCTGAAACCCTAAATCCTGAAACCCTGATTCCTAAACCCTAATTCCTAAACCCTAAACCCTATATATCCCCCTTTAAGGAGTTTAAAGCCCAAACCCTAAGCTCTATATCCCAAACCCTAAACCCGTACAGAAGTCTTCTTTCTGAAGCATACCACAGACCTTGCAAGTCATAGAACACGTAGGTACATTACATATGGACGCCACAGAAACGCCATAAATCGGCTAGATTGAGAGACTACAACTCTAGGGCTACGACCCCGGAATGATTGAAGCTAATTTCCCGCTTGCGTTACGGCCCTCCCCTGAAAAGGAATAGCACATGCATCGCCGCATACCGTTGCAAAAAACTGGCGATTAATAACCCCTTATGCGTCAGCGCAACTTTGGAGCGCAAGCTGTGCATGCGGTCAGATTGGGTTTAGCCTCCTGCCTGGTGCAAGAGTTTGAAGCCCTCACTGCTGGCCAACGGACTGTGAAGGAGACTGAAGGAATGTTACCAGACTATTTTATCTACTATTATTATTATTCAACTGAAAAATAATCTGAATAATAGTACTAATAATGAAGTGAGACTGTTAAGCTTAGTGGTTCTAGAGACAGCTAAGTCCTGGCCGCCATCTGTCGCTCAGTGAGCCGATTAATCTTTACAGGGTGTGGCGAACGTACTGCTTTAGCGAGTGAACGTTCGCATTGAAGGCAGGATCTTTCACTCCTCATCCGTGCGTGCCGAATTCAGGAACTCTCTGCATTCAGGAGCTTTCCGCTACACATTGCGAAGAGGAATTAAGATATTGTGGATGTCATCGCAGCTAGCTATGCCGAGTAGCTAATACGCCATCTACCGGTCCCTGCGGCTCAGTGCCTCGTAGTGCAACAGACCGCAGAGACCGTCTCCAGCTGCGTGTCCTGCAACAGATAAGTAAAATGCTGCTCTCAGCCTCATCTTACAGGGGCTGAGTAGGAATACGGGAATCTATTATTTAGCGACTCTATGGGGATTAGACTCCCATATTCCATACGCAGAACCAGTGCGGAATGCTGAGAAAGACAAAGCCCAAAAGCCCCCATGGCTGCGAAGATCCCGTTTGGGAGAGAACCTAGGCCCTAGAAACTAGGCCCGCGCTCCGTCCCAAACTTAAAGCCCTCATTGATCATGCACGGCATCATCCTTAAACCCTACAACCCTACCCCCAACCCAGCTGCCTCAAAAATTCAACCTCTTGGCTCATGCGCCGCCACTTACCGCCGGCCCTGCGCTTGCAGCGCCATTGGCCCTGCTGCCCTTGCTCACCTCACGGCTGAGCTGCAATAGGAATTTGGAGCATCATGAATGATAATGCTAATGCGAATACTAGTAGTAGTTGCAGTAGTAGTAATAGTAGTAGTAGTAGTAGTAGGAGGAAGAGTAGGAGTAGGAGTAGGAGGAGAGGTAAGGATGGTGAACGTGAGAATACTTGTAGTAACAATAAACAATAGTAGAAATATGTAGAACTAATAATCATACTACTAATAATCTAAATATACCAATAATCCGCTTGTGAAACTTTGGATTTCTCTCGGGTTTCGAGATACGTTGAGAGCTGTTCCGGCAGCAACTGGGAATAGCAATGGGGCAATAAAAGGGTTTAGGGATAAAAAAAAAAAAAAAACATGGAATGAAGGAATACAATCCCTATATAATGTATTCCCATATTCCTTACTAAGAACCAGTAGTACTAGTACTCGTACTAGCAATACTGATAACAGCACAAGCATAATGATCATGATGCACAAGGCTTTGGGAAACCCCAAACCCTAAAACCTAACCCCTCAACGCGAAACCCTAAATCCTGAACCCCAAATCTTAAACCCTAAATCCTAAACCCCTAAGCCCTAAATCCTAAACCCCAAATCCTAAACCCTAAACCCCAAACCCTAACCCCTAAATCCTGAATTTGGGAACTGACTGAAGGCCGCCACTCCTGGCTTCTACAGGAATCAAGGGCATAATGTTGGGGCCTAAAAAAGTTCAGGGTTTAGGGTTTGGGGTTTAGGGTTCAGGGGTTTAGGGGTCCCATGGGGGAGTGGGGGACATTCTTACAAGCAAAGAAGGGTTCTAAACAGAACAGACAAGACTACTAAATAGTTAGGCGTCTGCATTCGTCTCATGCAAGTCGTCCTAGACCCTCCCCCAGAATGATATGGAACCCATGAAGTCCCCGTTAAAGGATAGTAGTAATCTTTGTAAAGCCTTTTAGGGGTTCCATGTTCGCATTGGGGAGTATTTACCCTAAAAACCCAGATAGCCGAACATGTCCCCATGTATCCCTATAATGCGTCCCTATATCCCCGTAGATATCCCTTCTAACCCGTAAACCCTAAACCCTAGACCTATCTCTCTAAGCAATGTAGAAGCGCTGCTCTGGGCTGAAAGATCCCCTTGGGCCTGCCGCTCAAAGACATTCTCCAAGTCGACCTGTACTACTTCAAGGCACAGGGAGGTTATAAATGAGGCTATCAATGGGCTAACCCCAATATAACCCCATTTATGGGCTACTTACTGAGTCCCCTGGGCTTGCAAAAAGGCAAGTACCCAAACAGACGTACAGGAACAGCATGAGATGAGCCAGCACAAAGCTTCTTGGAAGATTCCACCTTAAACCCTAAACGCTACACCCTAAACCCTTTTGGCTGCAAGGCGCCTCCACTTCGTGGAGGGCCTCGATCATGTGGCCCATCTCTGTGTCCAAGTCGCCAACCTGGTGAATGGCTCAGAGGTCGCAGTAAAAGATCTCTGTTTAGTGCTCAAACTTCTTAAGCCCTTCCCAATTTTTCTGATCTTCAAGACAATGTTTTGAATTTACGGATTTGGGTATCCATGCAGAGAAAACTTGTTGCTGTAGAGGGATAGTGGCCAGTTTGTCATCACCGCCGGCTTCAAGGTCGTGGAGACGGCCGTTCATGTTTGCAAGGGCATCCTGGGCCTCCTTGAGATCTGCTGCGAAGCGATCCTTCTCCATCTTCTTGATGTAGTCCTTGTAAATCATGTAATAGCTTTAAATTTTCCATTCTCCTAAATACCCCGATAAACTATATATCCCTGCATATCCCTATATCTCCCTATATCCCCCAGTCCTTCAGAAGTTGACGGCAGGCCAGGTAGAACAGGCCGGCGCTACCAGTCACAGACGCCGGCAGCAACAGCGCCTTGGGGCCTGGGATGATATTCTCCACGTAGATGCCAATGAGACCTCCGATCAGGTAGAAGGTCCACAACCCCCCAAGCACTGCCAACTTACGTGCGTCCACGCCAATTTCAGCACGCTCAATGGCGTTCAGTGGAGTGCAGCGACAAGCCTTCCGGAGGTAGATCATACTGATGCGACCCATAGTGGAGCCAATGTCCGTCATGGTTCCGGTGACGTGCGTAGTGCGGACAATGGCGCCGAAGTGCGACGTGCACATGGCGTTCTGCAGTCCGCACGCAGTGGCCACGAAGCATGCTGGAACCAAGCGACCTGGAATAAAGGCTGCCGCGATCAGCAAAGCGGACTCCAAAATGAGAGCCAGGCCATAGAACGCCTTGCCATTGAAGTGCACTTGGTTCTTGTCAATGAGGAGGCCACATGCATATGCTCCAACCAGAAACGAGAAGACCAAAGAGCAGGCTTCCCTCAAGGTCTGGTTTGTAAACTCGCCCTGGTGATAGCCTTCCAGGCTGAAAGCTATGTTGGACGTGCTCCCCGTCACATGGGATGCATAGAGGCCCCAGTTCTTGAAGGCGATCACATTGGCCGCGCCGGCACATGCGGCCAGGCACCAGCCAAAGCCTGTCATATAGAACTTCGGCCGCTGAAAGCTCTTGCGGATGGCCGCGGCTTTCTCATTCACCTTCTTCGTGTTGGTGGACTGCCGTGACAAGCGGGATGGCGAGAGCGGTGTCTTCTCCAAAGAAAGGGCCTGCGTCATCTTGGTGGGAAATGTGACACCGAGCTTTGCCGGTTTGGACTTTGGCAGTATGCAGCTCCTTGGGCAACAAGGCTTTGGAGAATGAACCTGCAAGAGGCTTCTGCACACCCCCTTTCTGGGAAAGGGGATGCGTGAACTTAAGTGTTAGCACACATTCCGGTCCGATTACCCTCATGTAGCACTCCTTTGCGGAAAGTTCTTGCTTCTTCCATCCATCGTCCATCCCCTAATACCTGGCACAGGTCTGCGAACAGCCTCCGAAGCGCCAACACAAGCCCAAGGTTTTCCCTAGACGATATGCCCCCCAAAACCCCTAAGGCCCTATCAAGGATCATTAGGAGCCACCCCAAGAAGGGACCCCTAGTCCCTAAGCCTTAAATACCTGAGTTCTAAACAGACATGCTGAAACTTTAGAAGTGGGTCATGCAGAAGCAAGCAGGTATACTGCATAGTGCAAGAGCTATCGAGGTTCTCTAAATGACCCCAGTTTTTTACATCCAAAAATGGCTACCCAACAAGGTGATACCCATTATGATACGAATCCGCAACAGAGAACTCTTAAGCGCTATAGTAGATATCTGTGTGGGGCCCATCTGACCCGCATGTACCTTTAGAACTCGGATAGTCGCACCAAAAATGGTGATAATCAGAACAATTGAAATTGTATAACCCCCTTCGAGGAGTTTAGACCGTAAATCCTACACCGTAAACCCTAATCCTAAACCCTAAACCGTATATGACCCCCTTTAAGGAGTTTGGATTCTGGCTCATGTGCGGGCAGGTTAAGGATGCCAGGGGAGGACACCTGTAAGGTCTAGGGTTTAGCGACTAGGGTTCAGGGCTTTAGGGTTTAGGGTCTTAAGGCTTTTGGGGCTTTAAGGTTTGAGCAGGGTCAGGATTTTGGGACACTAGGGTCTGGGCTTCAAGATCTGGTGGCTTCCAAAACTGAAGAGCCCTGCTTTTGACGATAAAAAGGAAGATCGCATTTTGGGGTAAATGGTTATTTCACTGAATCAGGACCCCCAAATAAACCCCAAAATGCTATAATCCTTATTCTAATGGCCCCAAGAGGGAACCCCTAAACCCTAACCCCTTTTTTTGGCTCACATCAGGGGGGCCCTGGTTCCAGCTTTGGAACAACCCCATTTGAACCATAGTCTAAACTCCTAGTATCCCCCTTAATATCCCCTATAGTAGTCCACTATATAACCCCTTATATAACCCCCTTTAAGGAGTTTAGATTATGGTTCATTTGGATTTCAGTGTTTTGGATGCAGCTCTTGAAGTGCGAGTTTCTTAAAATCAGGGGTCTCCTTGCTTGGAGTCCCTGTGATAAGAACTAGAGTACTTCGGGGTCTAAATTGAGGTGCCCCATTTTGAAAAAACTACCCTAACCCAAATCCCTAAAACTTACGAACCCCAAAGCCAGATTGCCCCTTTTGGGAAACTACCAAGTCTGGGTAGGCCCCTGGGATATTCAATATTTCCCTAATGGCTTTAATAAGGGACCCTATATACTAACATTTTTCAAAAGGTTTTTGGGGCTAAAACCCTAAACCCTAATGACTGTTGCTGGTTGGTTGATGAGGCGGCGGCCCAAACGGTGACAAGCCGCAGTTCAACCTGTTCAGAGATTAGGTCTTAGGGTTTCTGGGTATAGGGGTTTAGGGGTTTAGGGTTTAGGGTTTAGCGGTATAGGGGTATAGGGGTTTAGGGTTTAGGGGGGGTTTCTCGTTATGAGAGTCAAACTTCTTGACAGTATTCTGTATGTATCTTCAGCTCTTTGGGATCAGTCATAGGACTAACTTAGACAAGCTCCGACAACTTTACCAGGCGACGGAGTTCTGGGGTTTGGGGTTCAAGGCCTGGCCATGTACAGGGTTGATGGAACAATGGAAGGGGAGACTTTCTAGATTAACAACCTACTGAGAAATTTAGGTGGAACCCACCTTGTAAGGGTGACTATTAGGGATAGTAAGGATTATATTAGGGTCCTATCATATTGCTCAAATTATGCCGCTATTACAACGTGGAGGGTCCTCCTAATGATAAATATCGAACCCTTGCGCGCTCAGGCACAGGAGAGAATATCAGGGGGATACTGGAAAAGACAATGGAAACTACTATAGTATATTGGGATGCATAGGGATAAGGTTACTCATATTTCGCCTTATAGAGCATTGTTACAACCCATGCAGACCGCCTCGTCAGGCCTCTGTTCTCATGGGAGTTTGTCTTGGGGCCGTGCATGCGGCGGCAAGGAATACTCATACCTAGTGTATAAAAGTCAAGCGAGTGACAGGCAAGCCTAACATGTCTGGACGTGGTGCCCATACTTAGAAGCAGTAGTGATACAGTCCCCCTTAAGTAGGTAGAATATGAGGTATATGGGGCTCTTACTGAAATATACCCAAAGCCATATTCTATCTACTTAAGGGGGGACTAAGCCCTAAACCAACTCTAAACCTACGTAGAACTACAACTGAAGCGGGAACAATGCCAAACAGGTAGGGTAGCACGTAACAATCAGACCCAGCCCTGGATGGCCAATCTGCCTTCTTGCTGGGATAAGCTGCCTTCAATGCCCTTGCCCAGTCATACCTGCCAGCTGGGGCTTAGGGTTTAAGGGTTTTGGGTTTAGGGGTTTAGGGTTTTGGGGTCTGCAAAGCCGGCAGGGAATTGGCATGCAAGGCAAAACCTATTCGAAGGGTCATGGCAGCTGCCCCTTAGTTGGGGGCTCGGAAACCGGCCCACCCTCCACGTGAGCCATAGTCTAAGCTCCTAGTATCCCGCTTAATAACCCTTATAGTAGTCCGCTGTATAATCCCTCTTTCAGGAGTTTAGACTATGGCTCACGTGAGCCCCAGCGAAGGGCACGAGAGGATGTTGCGGGCGGTTGGCGGGTCGACGTCCAAGATGCAGGCTCCAGTCTCCTGCTCCGAACACTCTTAACTCTTACTCTTACTCTTACTCTTACTCTTACTCTTACTCTTACTCTTACTACTACTACTACTACAACTACAACTACAACTACTACTACTACTACTACTGCTACTGCTACTGCTACTGCTACTACTAGGTCCCCGGCGGGGAAAAACCCCCCCAAGAAACAGAAACGCAATG